AAAAAGGATGTCCACTCAGAGCCCCCCTCCAAAAGTCACCAACTACAAAGAACACAGGTAGATAAAGCCACTAAGATGGGAAGAAACCAGCGCAAAAATGATGAAAACATTAAAAACCAGAATGCCTCTCCTCCTCCAAGGGATCACAACTCCTCACTGGCTAGGGATCAAAGATGGATGGAGAGTGAATCTGATCAATTGACAGAAACAGGCTTCAGAAGGTGGGTAATAACAAACTTCTCAGAGCTAAAAGAACATGTGCTAACCCAATGCAAAGTAACTAAGAACTTAGAAAAAACGTTAGATGAGATGCTAACTAGAATAAACAGCTTAGAGAATATAAACGACTTGATAGAGCTGAAAAACACAGCACAAGAACTTTGCGAAGCATACGCAAGTTTCAATAGCCAATCGACCAAGTGGAAGATAGGATATCAGAGATTAAAGATCAACTCAATGAAATAAAATGAGAAGGCAAGAATAGAGAAAAAAGAGTGGAAAATGAACAAAGCCTCCAAGAAATATGGGATTATGTGAAAAGACCTAATCTATGTTTGATAGGTGTACCAGAATGTGATGGAGAGAATGAATCTCAGCTGGAAAACACTCCTCAGGATATTATCTGGGAGAACTTCCCCAACCTAGCAAGCCAGGCCACAATTCAAGTCCAGGAAATACACAGAACACCACGAAGATATTCCTCAAGAAGAGCAACCCCAAGGCACATAATCGTCAGATTCACCAGGGTTGAAATGAAGGAAAAAAATGCTAAGGGCAGCCAGAGAGAAAGGCCAGGTTACCCACAAAGGAAAGCCCATCAGACTCACAGCAGATCTCTCAGCAGAAACCCTACAAGCCAGAAGACAGTGGGGGCCAATTTTCAACATCCTTAAAGAAAAGAACTTTCAACCTAGAATTTCATATCCAGCCAAACTAAGCTTCATAAGTGAAGGAAAATAAAATCCTTTACAAACAAGCAATTACTGAGAGATTTCCTCACCACCAGGCCTGCCTTATAAGAGCTCCTGAAAGATGCACTAAACATAGAAAGGAACAACCAGTACCAGCCACTCCAAAAACATACCAAATGGTAAAGAGCATGGACACAATGAAGAAACTGTGTCAACTAACAGGAAAAACAACCAGCTAGCATCAAAATGGAACCATTGAATTCACACATAACAATATTAACCTTAAATGTAAATGGGCTAAATGCCCCAATCAAAGGACACAGACTGGCAAATTGGATAAAAAGTCAAGACCCATCGGTGTGCTATATTCAGGAAACCCATCTTACGTGCAAGGACACACAAAGGCTTGAAATAAAGGGATGGAGGAAGATTGATCAAGCAAATGGAGAGCAAAAATAAAAAAGCAAGAGTTGCAATCCTAGTCTCTGATAAAATGGACTTTAAATCAACAAAGATCAAAATAGCCAAGAAGAGAATTACATAATGGTAAAAGGATCAGTGCCTCAAGAAGAACTAACAATCCTAAATATATATGCACCCAATAGAGGAGCACCCAGTTATGTAACATACCCAGGTACATAAAGCAAGTTCTTAATGACCTACAAAGAGACTTAGACTCCCACACAATAATAGTGGGAGACTTTAACACTCCACTGTCGATATTAGACAGATCAATAAGAGAGAAAATTAACAAGGATATCCAGGACTTGAACTCAGATCTGAACCAAGCGGACCTAAGAGACATCTATAGAAATCTCCACCCTAAATCCACAGAATATACGTTCTTCTCAGCACCACATTGCACTTACTCTAAAACTGACCATATAATTGGAAGTGAATCACTCCTCAGGAAATGCAAAAGAACAGAAATCATAACAAACAGTCTCTCAGACCACAGGGCAATCAAATTAGACCTCAGAATTAAGAAACTAACTCAGAACCGAACAGCTTCGTGGAAACTGAACAACTGGCTCCTGACTGTTGACTGGATCAACAATGAAATGAAGGCAGAAATAAAGATGTTTTTTGAAAACAATCAGAATGAAGATACAACGTACCAGAATCTCTGGGACACATTTAAAGCAATGTCTAGAGGGAAATTTATGGCAATAAATGCCCACATGAGAAGTGAGGAAAGATCTAAAATCGACACCCTATCATCAAAATGGAAAGAGCTAGAGGAGCAAGATCAAGAAAACTCAAAAGCTAGCAGAAGACAAGAAATAACTAAGATCAGAGCAGAACTGAAGGAGATAGAGACACAAAAAGCCCTTCAAAAAATCAATAAATCCAGGAGCTGTTTTTTTTTAAAAAGATCAACAAAATAGACCACTAGCCAGATTAATAAAAAAGAAAAGGGAGAAGAATCAAGTAGATGCAATAAAAAATGATAAAGGGGATATCACCACAGATTCCACAGAAATACAAACTACAATAAGAAATTACTACAAACAACTTTATGCATATAAACGAGTAAACCTGGAAGAAATGGATAAATTCCTGGACACTTGCACCCTCCCAAGCCTAAACCAGGAAGAATTTGACACCTTGAATAAACCAGTAACAAGGTCAGAAGTTGAGGCAGCAGTTAATAGCCTACCAACCAAAAAAAGCCCAGGTGCAGATGGGTTCGCAGCCGAATTCTACCAGACATACAGAGAGGAGCTGGTAACATTCCTTCTGAAACTATTCCAAACAATTGAAAAAGAGGGAATCCTTCCCAGATCATTTTATGAGACCAATATCATCCTGATACCAAAACCCGGCAGAGACTCAACAAAAAAAGAAAACTTCAGGCCAATATCCATGATGAACATAGATGCAAAAATCTTCAATAAAATACTGGCAAACTGATTGCAACAGCGCATCAAAAAGCTTATCCACCATGATCAAGCAGGCTTCATCCTGGGGATGCAAGGCTGGTTCAACATACGCAAGTCTATAAACGTAATTCACCACATAAACAGAACCAAAGACAAAAACCACACGATTATCTAAATAGATGCAGAGAAGTCCTTTGGCAAAATTCAACAGCTCTTTATGCTAAAAACTCTCAGTAAACTAGGCATCGACAGAACATATTTGGTCCATTGATTTTCCATTAGATTGTTTTGATTTCTCCAAGCAAAAGAGCACATCATCTGGGAATGCTGATAAGTTTTCCCTCTTATTGCTATTTAATGATGTCTTATAGTAGCTAGAACCTATAGGACAATGTTGAACAGCAATGGAACAACAATGGTGGTATCTAAAATTCTTTGTTTCTTCCTTATTTCAGTGGAAATGCTTCTAGCTTTTTGCTGTTTGATTTTTTTCTTAGTAACATTAAACATAATGTTGTCTATTGGTTTATGAAAGATTTTTTTATCTTGTTAAGGAAGTGTCATTATATTTCTAGTTGACTAAGAATTATTGTCTGTGGGTTCCACTTTTCAGACATTGCAGAAAAAAAAAGAATTATTGTCTGAATGGGCATTGTGTCTGACCAAATACTTTTTTCTTCTTTCTAATTATTTTTTATTTCAATAGCTGTTGGGGTACAAGAGGTTTTTAGTTCCATGGATGAATTATATAGGGGTGAATTCTGAGATTTTAGTGCACCTGTCACCAGAGTAGTGTACATTGTACCCAGTATGTGGCATTTTTTGTCCATCATCTCCCCCTTCTGAGTCTATGAGGCCCACTGTTTCATTCTTATGCCTTTGCTTACTCAAAGCTTAGCTCCCACTTATCAGTGAGAACATACAATTTTTGGTTTTCCATTCCTGAGTTACTTCACTTAGAATAATGGCCTCCAGCTTCATCCAAGTTGCTGCAAAAGACATTATTTCATTCTTTTTATGGCTTTTTGTGACTGAGTAGTATTCCATGGTGTCTGTGTGTGTGTGTGTGTGTGTGTGTGTGTGTGTAATTTCTTTATCCACTTATTGGTCAATGGGCACTTGAGTTGTTTCCATATCTTTGCAATTGTCAATTGTGCTGCTATAAATGCATGTGTGCATGTATCGTTTTCATTTGATCACTTCATTTTCTTTGGATAGATACCCAGTGGTAGGATAGCTGGATCAAATGGTAGATCTACTTTTAGTTCTTTAAGCAATTTCCATACTGTTTTCCGTAGAGGTTGTACTAATTTACATTCCCACCAGCAGTGCAGAAGGATTTTCTTTTCACCACATCCATGCCAACATCTATTGTTGTTTGACTTTTTAATAATGGCCATTTTTGTAGGAGTAAGGTGGTATCGCTGTCATTTGAATTTTCATTTCCCTGATAATTAGTGATGTTGAACATTTTTTCATATGTTTTTTGGCTGTTTGTATAACTACTTTTGAGAAAAGTCTATTCATGTCCTTTGCCCCCTTTATGATGGGATTATTTGTTTTTTCCTGATGATTTGTTTGAGTTCCTTGTAGATTCTGGATACTAGTCCTTTGTTGGATGCATAGTTTGCAAATATCAAATGCCTTTTAAACATCAGCTGAGACCTTACATTTTTGGAATAAATCCTGCTTATGATGTGTAATTATTTTATTATGTTGTTTTATTAATTTTTTCTAGAAGAGTTAGATCTTGGTCAAATAAAAGGAGAGTGTGTATGCCTAAAAGTCATGTTCAAGATTTTTTTTTAATTTTAAAATTATTTTTAAAGGTTTTTGTGGATACATATAAGTAGGTGCATATATTTCTGGGGTATGTGAGATGTTTTGATACAGGCATGCAATGTGAAGTAAGCACATCATGGACAATGAATAAGCATTCATCCTTTGAGTTACAAACAATCCAATGACGTTCTTTGTTATTTAAAAATATTCAATGAAGTTATTATTGACTATGGTCATCCTATTGTACTATCAATAGTAGATCTTATTGATTATTTCTATTTTCTTTTGTACCAAGTAACCATCCCCACCTTCACCCTCCAATCCCCCTCTACCCTTTCCAGCTTCTGGTAACCATTCTTCTATTCTTTATGTTCCATGTTCAGGATTTTGAGGAACTAAAAATGTACATAAAATTCAAGTACATAGCTTTTTGTGGTTCATAAACATCATGATTGGGTTTTCATGCTCACATGTGAGATGTGCCTCCTTTAAACCTTGTTATAATGTTGGCACATTACCCATCTGTTGTAAAAAAATTACATACTATTTACTGTGATCAAGAATAAGGATGTAAGAACCTAGTAGTAAAATTGTATGTTGTGCACAGAATAATATTTAAAATAACGTTATATGAGAAATAACTGTTGTTGCCAGTTCTCAATAAAATAGAAACATCCCTTACTGGTATGCAGGCTATTGAGTCACTCTTTTACCTCCAGCCCTATAGCAGTTTCTCAAAGAATGGAGGAACCAAAAGTTAGAAGATTCAGTCTCAGCTGTTCTTGCCCTTTCAGAATAGAATTCCAGGCAGAGATGAATTTGGGCCTTGCAGATCTTTCTACTTTTTTTTTCTACTCCAGCATCAGACTTTTCTTTTTTTGTGCCTACTTTGAGTAGGTAAGTTTATCCTAGTATGAGCAAAGACAACTAAGTAAGGAAGTAACAAACCAAAATGTAGCATAAGAGAGTTGTATGTGTGCATGAGGTGCACACATATCCATGGAAGGGGTATACTTTATCTCTGCTTTTTGTTGTTGCTTTTTTATTTTTTTTTGAGATGGAGTTTCGCTCTTGTTACCCAGGCTGGAGTGCAATGGCGCGATCTCGGTTCACCGCAACCTCCGCCTCCTGGGTTCAGGCAATTCTCCTGCCTCAGCCTCCTGAGTAGCTGAGATTACAGGCATGCGCCACCATGCCCAGCTTTTTTTGAATTTTAGTAGAGATGAGGTCTCACTATGTTGCCCAGGCTGGTCTCAAACTCCTTGGCTCAAGGGATCCTCCTGCCTAGGCCTCCCAAAGTGCTGGGGATTACAGACATGAGCCACCATGCCTGGCCACCTTTGTAATATGCATAAATCTGGGCCACCCTAGCGTCCACCTCAGCTCAGTGCATATTCAGCAGATACACTGCTCTAACAATCCAAAAAATAATTCAAAACCTATTTAAATTTTTTACAGCAGTATCCACAAAATGTAAAGAAGAATTCCATTCATAGCACTCAGCCAAATTTCTCTTCACTTGCCTTTCATCATAACTTCATCATCATAACTATTGGGTTATGATGAAAGCCCCATTTCTTTTCCATTTCTTTTCTCTTCGTTGAAGTCACACACTCTCAACCCTTCCCACTGCAAACCGATCAAACTGTTTTCAGTTCAAGCCCCCACCCATTGCCCAGATCTGTATGTTAAGGCCCATTAACTATTAGGCAAAGGCAAAATCCTTACTAGGCAGAGTTTTTATTTTGTTTTGTTTTCCTATAACACATGCAGAAACAAAATTTCCAGGCAACCTTTAAATGTCTGCTTATCCAGGGCTTTAATTTTCCACCTCCAGTAAACATTTCACTACGTTCTAATGTGATAGATTATAAATTCCCCCACCTCCATCAGTGAAATTATAGAACAGCCAATAAATGGCAGGGGATCAACAGCAGGGAGACCTGGGTAGTCCAGAACCTGGCAAAGGAATTCTGCAAGTAATGGAGTGTTGCATTTGTTGGCAAAAACATGTTCACAAAAAGTGCCATCTCTTCTCCTTGGCCTGGTTCCCTCGAAGCTGAAGTTTCCCAAAAAGTATTAGTAAAGTCTCAAGAAAGAGCTACAGGAAGAACAAGGTACATTAAGCTGTTTTCTGCTTCTTAGAGCTGGAGAGTTTCCAAGGGCTGAGATACATTTAGATGGAGGAGTGGGCCCTGACTGCCTTGGGCAGTTTCTGTTCCTGCCTTTGCTCCCTGCCCATGCCCCTCAGTCTCTAAAGCCCAGACAGCCCCTGCGGCAGAGTGATGAGCCTATTTTTAAAGACCAGGCATACTCTGAATGAATAATGACTTCTCTTTTTCTCTACCCTGTGCCAATCAGTGACTCATCAACCATTTTCTAAATGACTATGTTTTCATTCCCCAGTTTCCTTCACAGTGCAATATTAGAGAAGATTAAATGCAGCCCCTAGCTGCCTCCCTCTGCTTTTCTGAGTCTTGTTTTAGAGATGTTAATGCCCCCAAAATAGAAGCGTTTCATTGAATACTGATCATTTAGTGACAAGTGAAAACACACACACAGCCGTGTTAAGGAAAGGTTTGTATGACTTCCAGGAGGAGGATGGAAAAAGAAAAGGAAATGGCATCTTGGACTATGACGGCAAATGTAGTCTCTCAGCTGGACCTCATTCACCGCCCCTCACTGCACTCCTAGATTTCCAGGCTGGGGCCGTTTGTTAAGGAGCCACCTACACTTTGTATAGTCACTTTCTACTCCTTGCTATTCTCTTACTGCCAAATAGTTGTTTTCTTTTCTAGGGTTTTCTCTTCCTACTCCTACTCCGGGACATCACTGTTTCCAAAATGAGGCTTGCCTTTTGTCCCAGAGGAAATGAGAGGATTTGGATGGTGAACATAAAGCCATCACCATTTCTGGGCTAGTTATACTTCGCTTATCCTGCTGATGATAGGCCTGAGGTCTTACCTTCTTAACCCGCCAAAAAAAGAAACCCAGCACTCAATCCGAATCCTTAGATGTCCCTCCTCTCTCCCTCCTCTCTCCCTCCTCTACCGTGCCAGTGATCTTCTACTTGTTCTTCTCCACCTTGCTCTGTGGTCTATGAGCTTCATTTACACGGATTACATCAACAGAATTCTCTAGTCCACAGGCTTCCAGATGAGTTTGAACAAGGGAGAGTATCAGAAGTATGTTTGGGGGCCCGGGGGTGGGTGGGCAATGAAATTTTTGTATTTATTCTGCTCAGTTCCATCTTTGGGCTGATTCTGTCCCATGCCTTAAGGTCACTGCTTCTTTCAAGGAAGCCTGCCTATATTACTCTCTCCTTCTGGTAACCACCCTCCCTTTGGGCCTAGGGGTGGTAACAGCTTTGCTGCTAAGTCCTGAGTCCCTGCATTGTGCTCACTTGCTGCCATTGTGTAATTAGTCCCTTAGTAAAAGAATGCTCTTCAATCATTCACCTGTTTCCTGTTAAGATGCCAGCTGGCCTTATCTTCACCTCTTCTCTGACCCCACCCTGCCCTGTCTTCCTACTTTGCTCTGATTTTTCTCTCACTTCCTGCGGCATCTTCTGGCCTCCTTGGGCCTCTAGCATGAAGCACAGCGAGCCTTCTGAGGCATCTGCTGACCCTTAGAGAAACAGCATCAAAGAGGTACAGTGGCAGGGATAAGCCTTTCTGGAGCAAGAAATACAACCTCCCAGAAATCTTCAGGCTTATGATCTCAATGTGTTGTGTATGAAATTCAGTTGCTGGGGTTAAAGGGAGGATTGATTTGGAGCTGGTCTCCCTTGACTAGAGCGGTGATTGAAAAAAAAAATGGAGCTGGATTTTTGATCATGGCCCAAGCCCGCCGCATTACAATGTACTTGTCTTGAGCCTGCAGGACTTCTTCCTCTGTGAATCATTCCCAGATCGTCTAAGGCCACAGTAATCTCTGCAGCAACTGCATCTCAATAATCATAATAATCATAATTATAATCATCACAATGGCTGCCAATTACTGAATGCCAACTCTGAACCAGGCACTCTGCCTGGTGTTTTGCCTCCGTAAACCAAATGGAAGTTTCCATTTCACTCTTAAGGGCTGGCTTCCACACCACGGTATTTGGGAAAAGGTCACATTGAATCTCAATCCATTCCCAAGTTGTCCACTGGCGTCGCTTGGCTTCCCTGAGTCACGTGTTACTTCCGGCTCCACCAGGGGGCGCAAAAAACTTCACTGCGGGTGGAGGTCTGGAACCCTAAGAGGACCTGCACTTCGGTGTGTCTGGGTTTTGCGGGGAGGGGGCGGCGGGGGTGTGTGTTGGTGATTGCGAGTCCCAGCTTTCACTTTCCTCCCCGACACAGCCAGACTGTGATGCGGGTCTGTCAGACTGTGAGTAAGGTTTGAGTAACATCAAAGGGGAAAACCGCCTGTGAAGGGAAGGATGTAAAATCGCAGGAGGCTTTGAGGTGTTCAGCTGCCACAGGGGGACTCTTAGAAGCACACCCTAGTTCCTGTCCTGGCCCTGGCTCTCCTCCTCCACCTCAAGTCAGCTGTCTCTGTGGAAGCCATTCCTTCTTCCACCTCTGTCTCTCCCCTTTTGGAAATGTTCATCCACTGGGGCTGTTCTCACCCCTAGGAAGCGTCCCTCTTCCCTCAGCAGGACCCTTCCCCCAGTGTGAGTTAGTCAACGGGAGGACCTCTGCCCCATCTCCTGGGTGGTGTAGATCTGTTCTCTCTCCCTCAAGACCTGCATGCTAAGGTGAGGGACAGATGCATGTCTTTACTCTTCAGCTTGTCTGACTGTAGCTGTGGGCATCTCTCCCCCCGCCCCCCCCCACACACACTTTCAGAGAGCTCCCAAGGACAAATACTGGTTCTCAGGGACAACATAGTCTACACCCAGATGGAGAAAGAATTCTTTCCCTAAGTGCTTCCACACTTTGCAAGGCCCCTCTTCCACAGTGAACTTGCTACCTCACATCATTATATACTCGCAGTTGGTTTGTCTGTTCATTTTCCCCTTTTAAGTTGCTCAGCTTTGGCTTTTTGAGAATGGACTATTTAATGGCCACCCCTTTCTGTATGCAAAGACCCAGTGCAGGTGGAGAGATGGTCACCTATATGAGACATTGCATTTCTTAGTTAAGGTCCCTCCTCTGCCTGATGGAGTGGGTTTGGTTTCATTCCTCCAGTTTCATATATCTTAAGCTCTAGATCCTCACAACTTACTGGGGTGGCTGAGATCCTAGTGAATGGCCTATCAATCTGGGGACCTAGGAATTGGCCTTTTCCCCTTTCATGCTTTAGCCCTTATATCACATACATTACCAAGTTCTGGTGATGTTAACTCCTTGACTGTTTCTGGAACCTATCTACCTCTTTTCATTCCTCCCACTTCCATCACTCCCACCACTGCTGGCATGTTGGCTGCCAGTCTGTTCATCCCGTCATCCTTGCCATCATTTTTATGCCATTTCTGTTCACTTTTTGACTACTCGTGTGTGGTCATGGCTCCCTCAACTAAACTGTAAGCCCATGAGGGC